TCATATTTCTTCAAGAAACAAAGCTCTAAACATCCTCTCTTTTTATTCTAAGTGTGTTCATCCTTTTATTAATTATTTTCAATATTTTGGCTATTTCAAGAGCCTTAAATTCCTGAATTTTATACACACACTTTGAGCTTGTGTTTCTAGTTATATACTCTCATATTCATAAGTTTATATTGTATTTTTGAGAGAGTATAATTTCCTTCTACACCGGCTAAGTTTTGTTCTTCATTTTTATATTCCACCCGTTGTGTAGAATCCTCTTTTGTGTTCTTCAAACACACCTTCTTACGGTCGAGAATAGCCGTTAAATTCTCATATTGTATCGGTCGAGGATAGCCGTATAAATCCTTGGGTAAAGGTTCAAGGATAGCCTTTGAAATCCTTGGGGAAACGGTAGAAGATAGCCGTTAAATCTTCGTTGTAAACGGTTCGAGATAGCCGTGGTGAAATCTCGGAGTGAATCCTATTGGCAAGGGTTGTTTGCCAAACTAGTGCGGTGCTTTGACGGAGTTCAAGAGACCGAGACTTAGTGGATTCGGAAATCCTTGAGGAGGAGCCTTGAGGTACTGGAGTAGGGAGTTCCCGAACCAGTATAAAATTGGTTGGGGTAGTTCTGTAGGTCCACAAAATATAGGGAACTTCTTCCACCCAGGCACTTTTGCATTCCATTATCTTCTTCTTGAGGCCGTCCATGATGGTACGATTGGTGTTCTCAACCTGCCCATTGGTTTGGGGGTACCCGACCGCTGCATAGCTGTGTTTTATGCCCCAGCTCTGTGATGATCTGCTGGGGCACCCCAAATCGGCACAAGATTTTCTTGGAAACGAACTTCGTCATCTAATCCGCCGTGATGGTTGGCACAGGGGCGGCCTCGACCCACTTGGTGAGGTAGTCAATCGCGACCACAAGGTATGTGTTGTTCCCTGTCCCCCGAGGCAAAATACCGACCAGATCGATGCCCCACCGGGCAAAAGGAATTGTTGTGCTTATCGGGGTATAATTCGTCGCCGGTCGCCCTGGCATCCTCTGGAATTCCTGGCAAACCTTGCATTTGCGCACGAACTCTGCGTAATCTCTGATAATCGTTGGCCAAAAGTATCCTTGTAGGGTCACCTTCCTGGACATCGTGAAGGCTCCCTGATGTGCTGAACATATTCCCTCATGGATTTCCTCCATTAACTTCTGTGCCTCGCCCGCTCTTAAGCACCTCAACAATGTACCATTGTACCATCGCTTATACAGCTGACCGCACTCCAACGTGTAGCTGGGTGCACGTCGTTTCACCACCTTTGCCGCGATTGGGTCGATAGGTAGCGACCCGTCAAGGATGTACATGGTAATCTCATCAATCCAATCCGGCTCCTCTTTGAGTGTGATGATCAGCACTTGTCCGGGACTGATGCTTGGCTCGAGCAACTCTTCTTCCTGGGTCATTGCCTTAATATGATCCGGGGAA